AAGTCTGCCTGGCCTCCTATGACAGACTGATGTAGAAGCGAATGCCAAGGCTTCTTAGGCAATGCTGAATGAAAGAGGCAGTCCTTCTGTCCTGAAGTCATGCCATGTGGAACTAGGACACCAGCATTCACTGGGATATCTGTGCTAGAGCCTTAGATCACTCTGTTTAGGGCTAGGGGAGAACTGAAGGATGTCATAGAATTGGAAATATAGGAGGAATTGGAAATCTATACTGAGGAGGAAAAAAATCCTGGTGGTTAGGGTTGCAGCAGGAGAAGGTAGGGGGAGGGACTAGTATCTAGTCTGCCCTATAGCTGTTCCTCTTTGTGTTTTTTGTACGTACTTGAACTATAAGCTCTATGAGTTCTTATCCAATGTGTACACATGTGCTTAATAAATATTTACTAACAGATGATAATAGACACCAAGACTCCCAGTGCAGCTTATTTTGGAGTAGTAATGGTTGATTGCTGTCCTTTGTTCTCAAAGGGGACCAAAATGACATCACTATGTCAGAGTCAAGTTGTAGTGTGTCCGACTGTGGCTGATCAGACCAAGACAAGCTTGGAATGCTCTACTGCAGGCTGGGCACATATAGTCCATGTGAACATTCGGGGTGGATTCTCCAAATTTGCACATCTTGTGTTTCTTTTGAGCTACTTCAATTCTGCTTTGCTCATACAGCACAGCCCCTTTTCTGATGAGGGCATGCCATTCTGGGCATGTGTCTTCCATGTCACACAATCAATTCCAAAGGTCTTAAGATCTTGAGACCTTGAGAGTATCCCTATATTGCTTCTTCTGATCACCATGTGAACCCTTGCCCTGTGTGAGCTCTCCATAAAATAGTCTTTTAGGCAAGTGTACACTTGGCATTTGAACATCATGGCCAGCTCAAAGTAGTTGCACTCTCTGCAGTACATCTAGGGATGTACACATTGATAATGAGATTGATGCATGCATTGCTAGAGCTAGTTCAGTGTTTGGAGACTCCAAAGGAAAGTGTGGGAGAGAAGAGGTATTAGACTGTCTACCAAACTGAAGGTCTACAGAGCCATTGTGCTGACCTTGTTGTTGTATGCCTGTGAAACCTAGACAGTATACTAGCACCATGCCAGGAAAGAGAATCACTTCACTTTGAATTGTCTTAGGGAGATTCTTTTTTTTTTTCTTTTTGGTGAGGTGATTGGGGTTAAGTACACAGCTAGTAAGTGTTAAGTGTCTGAGACTGGATTCAAACTCAGGTCCTCCTGACTCCAAGGCCAGAACTCTATTCACTGAGCCACCTAGCTGCCCCTCTTAGGGAGATTCTGAAGATCACCTGGCAGGATAAGATACCAGTAATAGCCCAGGAATAGGGATGTATAAAAGTAAGCAAAGGCTCTAGAAGGGTCCAGGTGAGTCCAAGCTCAGTTTAGGGTCAACAGGGACAAACCTAGGGGAAATGAATATAATTTGTCCTTTCTAAGGGACTCCTAGGTAAAGGGCTAGTCAGGCCCAACTCAGCTGACATGATAAGCTTCTGTATAGTACATTGGAAAGAACATAGATTCTGGAGTCAGAGAACCTGGGTTCAAGTTTGCCTCTCATACTTACTTGTCTGACCTTGGGCAAGTCACTTAACATCTCTGATATCATAGGATCATATATTTAGAGCTGGTAGGATCTTCAAGGCCATGGAGTCTAACCTAATTTTGTTGACATGGGCCTCAGTTTCCTTCCTCATTTGTAAAATGAGGGGTTAGAGTGGATGACTGCTAAAGTCATTTCTAGATCTGCTATGATGAAGCTAAGATAATATTAAGAAATAGTCCAATACTGGCCTCCTTGACGTTTCTTGAACAAGACTCTCCATCTCTTACCTTTGGGCAGTTTCACTGGCTGTCTCCTGTATGTGGAATGCTCTCCTTCCTTTCTGCCTCTTGGCTTTCCTGGCTTCCTTCAAGTCCCAGCTAAAATCTCACCTTCTACAGGAAGCATTTCTTGATGCCTTTTAATTCCTGCGCCTTCCCTCTGTTGATTATTTCCAGTTGTCCTGTATATTGCTTGTTTGCATATAGTTCTTTACATATTGTCTCTCCCATTAGACTATGAGCTCTTTAAGAGCAGGTACTGTTCTTTAACTTTCTTTATATCCCCAGTGCTTAGCACAGTGTCTGGCATATTTTAGGCCCTTAATAACTGTTCATGGACTGAATGATTATTCATTTGTATACTATTTTAATGCTTTTTCCTTTTGAGACTAGGTCTCTTTATCTCAACCAGGCTGGAAGCTACAGTAGCTCCTCATAGCCCAATCCCACTGCTAATTGGCTTGGAAGCTTTGACTTTCTCCATTTCCAACTTGGGCTGGTTTGCTCCTCCTTAAGCAGCCTAATGGTTCCTCCCCTACTTCTACTCTTGCAAGGTCATCATTTGGAGGCTAGACTTAGTACAGACACCCAAGTGGCTTCAGCCTATTGCAACTCAGAATTCCAGAGTTCAAGTGATCTACCAGCTTTTGTCTACCTCAGGAGCAGGGATTATAGGCATGCATCACCATATCTAGCTATATTAACTTTTAAAAATACTTTCATATTCAGTACATTCTCTTATTTAATTCTTACAGTATCAACTATAACACTGGGAAGTAAGGCTTGTCTAAGTTCTCACATCTAGTTAGCAGAGAGCAAGTCTCTTTTTAAGGCCTTTTGACAACCCCCCCTCCCCCACCAATGTACTTTTACCACAGGACTGCATTTTCCCTTTGCCTATGTGTTCCCTCAAGGAATCCAGCCAGGTATCCTATTCAGATTCCCTTTGGGTGACCAACTTGGACTTTGGAAGAAGGTCAACAGGAGGCAGTTTGAGGCCTTCCCTTGGACTTCTGGAATGGAAGCACTATTGCCATTCTAGTAACTAACCAGGTGCCTTTTGGTGGGGGTCCAGAACATTTTGTCACCAGTTCAATCCAGAAAGTATTTGTAAGTGCCTGCTTACTGTTATGCCAGAACTTCATTTGTCTCTTTGCCTTTTAACTGGCTGTCCCCCATACCTGGAATTCTCTCCCTCCTCATCCTTGACTTTTGGCTTCCTTCAAGTATGAGCTAAAATCCCACCTTCTGAAGGAAGTCTTTCCCAATCCTCAATGTTAGTGCTTTCTCTCTGATGTTATTTCCATTGCTTGTTTATGCAATAGTCTTAAGTAAGGGGAGAAGGACCTTGGTGCCTGGGAGGGTGATGGTGCCATGAACAGAAATAGCAAAGTTTTTGTGGGGGGAAGAGGAAGATAAAATGTTCAGTTTTGGACCCACTGAATTTGGGGTGCCAGAGCTACATATAGGTAGAGATGATGGTAGTAACCCACATTTATAAAGTCCTATAGAGTTTACCAAGCGCTTTCTTCACAACACCCTGTGGGGTAGGTAGTACAAAAATGATTATCTCCATCTCATAGCTGAAGAAACTGAGGTTGGAACAGGTGAGTACTTTGCCTGTGGTCACACAGCTGCTGAGTGTTGGAGGCAAGATTCAAACCCAGATCACTTCTGCTTCTAAGTCCAGAGAGTTCCCCATCGTGTCACAAAGTTTTCCAAGGATTTCCTCCCCCTCCTCAGATTCTTAAGGTACTTATGGTCATGACCTTTGCTCTCCTTGCACCCCCCTTTTTTTTATCTTAGTTTGGTTCCTCGGGGCTGCCCTGCCTGCCAGGAAAGCAATGACTCAGACCCAGTGACCTGAATTCCACTCCTTGACACCCTGCCATGGGGCAGGAAGGTGACAGTGGAAACTTTGAGCAGATTTCTTTCCATTCCTAGCCAGTGCACCGAATTAGGAGAATATCAGGTTATGTGAGGTACACGAGCTACAGACGGAAAGACAAAAAGTCTTTGAAGGCAAGGCAAAGGTAGGCTGGGTTGGGATTAGGCAGGACTCTGGTACTTTTCTGTGCTTGACCCATGCCAGGACCCTCTCCCCCTCTGAGCCTCAGTTTCCTGAGAACTCTTTGTAAGGAGACAACATAGTATAGTGGAAAGTGCTGAATTTCGGAGGCCCTGATTTCAAATCCCAGCTCTACCACTTAATTACCTCTGTGACCTTGGGCAATTCACGTAACCAAACGATTAGGTTAAAAAGTTAACCTCTGAGGTCCCTTCTAGCTATAGAGCCATAATCCTAAAAAGTAGATGCCCCTATAATTGCAGAAAAGCACAGCTGGAGAATATAGTGTGAATATCTTTAGTTGGAATAGATGGTTACGATGCGGAGAAACTGGGTACATAGTTAGGCTCAGAAAACCTGCCCTAGAAAACAGTCCCAACCAAACGGTATAAGGGGAAAAAGATATTGAGTATAGTAATGGTGAGAACAGTCTAAGCTCTGCTATAGTACATCTTATAGCTGGGAGAAATTCATTCTATCTCTATGTCTCTGGAGAGAAGTCTTTGCTTGACATTCTGGGAGTCTTCCTCCTTTATCACCAGGACTAGTCTACAAAATGGCCCCAAATCTGCTTTTCTAAGCTGCTCCCATAAAGGTGGACCCAGGTTCTTTCCTCTATTTTAAAGAAAGAAAAAGAGACAATAGAAGGAAGGTAGAGTAAGGTATGGGCAGGAAGGAATCTTGGTCCATGGTGATAATAATGAGTCAGCCCTGCTGAGAGGTACTGCATAATTTGGGGATGGAGCAGTAGGTGGGAGCCTCATTGGCTATTATCATCCCCTCCCCCTACCTAAGTCTTGAGTCCCACTTCTGGGCATAGCAATGAACACTGTCTCCCCTCTTGCCTTTTTGAATTCCAGCTCAGTATTCCTAGAGCTTTTGATTTACTTCTGTGAATTTCTAGACCAAGTAGTTCTTTACTGAGCTCTTTCTGAGGAATCATGTTACAAACCCAAGGATATGACTAGAGAATGGAATTGTGTGTGTCATGAATCCTGGCCTTCTGGATCCTGGTGGATTGGTGCTGCCAACTACAACTGCTTTCTGTTGACGAGGATGCCTATCCCATTCTGTTACAGGTACCGGGGCCTTATTCTGCTGCTCACCTTTCTCATTTACACCTGTTACCACATGTCTAGGAAGCCGATCAGTGTTGTCAAGGTGAGGCCAGGGAAAAGCCAGGGTAAGACCTAGAGTGACTTGTGGGAGGAAGCAGCCCTATGCTGGGAATACCCTTGGCTAGCAGGATGTGCTCCCAGAGTTCTAAAAGACAGGTATCTGGCACCTGTTTTCTCCTCCCAGTCTCCTTGAGAAGGAAAGTGGCTCCTCCCACATCACCCTAGGCCCCCTTTTCCATAGTTCCCCTTGCCTCACTTTTCATGTGCATTTACTTTGCATGAGGTATCAGACAAGAGGTGTAGGCACAAGAGACCAGGAAGCCTTGTGAGGCTTTGGGAGCAGGGAGGGGCAGTATGTTTTGAGTAGAAGTTAGGCTAGAGAATCTGACTGGGTGGGATTGGATCTTGGGGATGAAGGAGGCTCGGGGTTCTGTTGCTGCTGGGCCTCTCTGTCAGTGCGGATGACTCTCAGGCTAATCCTTTGCTTCCTCAGAGCCGGCTGCATCGAAACTGTTCAGAGCTAGAAAGGCCCAACAATGACTCCAACAGCACCACGTGGTGTAACTGGGCTCCATTTGGTAAGAGCCTGGCTGCATCTTTCCACTCTTCTTTTTCTGCCCTCTACCTTTAATACTTGCCCAAACTCTGCCTTGAGTAAGAGGAGTGGATGGGCTTTGTGACGACTAGTGAAAAACTGGCCCCTTGGGAAGATACAGGATTGAGATTTAGTACTTTGTCCTGTATCTATCCAGTGCACTTATGAAGTAATAGAAGTTATATTTATCTGTGTTTGTGTCTTATCCCTCTATTAAACTGTACGTGTTAAGAGGACAGGGATGTGTCTTATCTTAACTTTGTGTGTTTCCCAGCACCTACCATTGTGTCCTATATGTATGGATGTAGTATGCACTATTCAAGTCACCAGTGATTGCTTGCCATATCTTATTATATTTTCCCAATCCTCATCCTTTTTGACCTTTCTGCAGCATGACACTGTCTCTCTCTCTTCTCTGGGTTATGATACTCCTCTTTCTGGTTTTCTTCCCACTTGTATGAGTACTCCTCAGTCTCTTTTGCTGGCTTATCACCCACGATATGCCCCCTAACTGTGGGTATTCTGGACCCTCTTGTCATCTTGTACTGTATTGTCTTAGCAACCTCACCAGCTCATATAGATTTAATTACCATCTCTATGCTCATGACTCTTAAGACCTATATCCAGATCTAGTCTCTCTTCTGATCTCTAATCTTGCATCATCAGAACTTTCTAACTGGATGTGTTGTAGCTATCTCAAGATCAAATTATTCAAAACAGAACTCTTTCTTTCCCTTAATACCCCCTACCCCTCTGCCATTTCTGTCAAGGTCATCACCATCCTTCTCATCTCCTAAATTTGCAACCTCAGTGTCATCTATAACACCTCACTTTCATTCCTACATAGCCACTCATTTACCACATCTTTGACATATATCACCTTCTCCTTGCTCACAAAGCCACCCCAATTGTTTAAGCCCTCATCACCTCTCATCTGAACTACTACAGTAATCATCTATTTGATCTCCTGGCCTCAGGTACCATTTAGGTTCAATCCGTCCTTCACACAATTGCCAAACTTGTTTTCGTAAAGGGCAGGCATGACCATGTCACTTCCCTATTCAATAAACTCCAGTGATTCCCTATTTGCTTCAGGATCAAATGTAAATTCCCCTGCTTGGCATTTAAAGCCTTCACAATCTTGCCCTGACATACCATTACAGCTTTATTATGTATTCCTTACTTTTTGAACACTGTAGTGCAGCTAAATTGGCTTTCTAGCTTCAAGGTACGTCATCTTCCATCTCTGCACCTATACCCATGACTGAAGTACATATCCTCCTCACCATCATTTCTCAGAATTGCTAATTTTCTGCAAGGCCCAGAGGAAGTGCCACTTTCAACAGTAGACTTTTCCTGACACTCTCTCCCTCTAGCTACTACTGCTTTCTTTTCAAAATCACCTTGTATCCATTTTGTGTCTGTCTCTCTCTCCATATGTGTGTGTGTGTGTGTGTGTGTCTGTCTGTCTGTCTTTGTCTCTCAGGATAAAATGTAAGTTCCTTGAAGGCAGGGATTTAAGTCTTTGGCTAGACCTATATGTTCCTGGCATATACATTTAATAAACGTTTCATTAATAAATTGGTGGTGGTGGTAGCTGGGAGAGTTGAGAAAGGCTGCCCATCCTGTGGCAGTCTGAATGAGGAGGCATCTTTTTCATTTGTTTCCAGATCAGGACAACTATTCGCAACTGCTGGGGGGTGTGGATGATGCTTTTCTGATTGCCTATGCTGTTGGCATGTTCATCAGGTATTAAGGGAGAGACAGAGCCATCACCAGCATAGAGTAAATCAGGATAATTTTCTTGACTTAAGTATCTTTGTCAGTACTAGTACATTTATTCAAGGATGTGCCAGGAAGATGGGCAAGGAGGTGTCTCAGCTAATGCAGAGACCAAATACATACAAATCAACCCTTAACATTCCCCACAGACAAAATGCCCTAGGCATAGGGCTCTTCCTTACTTTCTCCCTGCTGGCTGCCTATTTATAACTTGTTTTCCCTTGTAAGGCTGCCTTTGATCAGTGATTTTTAATCTCTAGGCAAAAAGGCAGAGTTGCCCCTTTGCCACCTCAGACTGCCCCCTTTCTGACTTATGGGTTGCCCTTGATTAATCATTTTTCATCTGGATAAAAATGTTGAGGGGAGCCCTTCTTTTGTTACAATCTAGATCTCTAAATTCCTTAGGAAACATTTACCTTAATGGTAGGTGGAGCTGGGGAGGAGACCAGGTATGAGTCTGGCAGGTCTGGGCTATGACTTGAATATTTTTTGAGATTAAATAATTAATTTTATTCAGTGGAATTTTTGGGGAGAGACTTCCCCTCCGCTATTACCTGTTTGCTGGAATGCTGCTGAGTGGGATTTTCACTTCGCTCTTTGGCCTGGCTTATTATTGGAACATTCACCAACTGTGGTACTTTGTACTTGTCCAGGTACAGCTTCCCTTCCCTTTTTTCAGATTTATTTTCCTGCCCCAATTCTTCCTCCATTCCTGTTCCCATTCCTCTAAATCCAGCCTGTCTTCTCTGCTCTTTAATCACTAGTTGGGAGGATATAGGACCAGAAGGGCATTTTGTTTTGTTTTGTTTTGTTTGTTTTTAGCTCTGTGAAGATTTTGTGTATGGTCTTTGAGTAGTATGGGCAGAACTTCATTCCCAACTTCTTGCTCTCCTCCCTGCTTTTCAGCTCCAGACCCTTGAAGTTAATCTGTGCCCATCATTCATGTTTCCTTAACTCTTCTCTTCCTGTAGATCTTTAATGGACTGGCACAGACTACAGGCTGGCCATCAGTGGTGACCTGTATTGGTAACTGGTTTGGGAAGGGAAAGTGAGTATAGGCATGGGGAGAAGGGAGGGAGGAATGGGAACTGGAGGGTGCTTAGAAGAAGAAGAAGAAGAAGAGAGAGAATTCCCCAAGCTGTGGGTATGGATTTCACTGGTGGAAGATTTCACTGGTGAAGGATAATGGGGTAATTGCATTTGGGACTCAAAGGTAGTGGGACTAAGTAGAGAGAGGACTCATCTGGAAGGTGTTAAGATCCCTCCATTCTCTTCGTATCTGACCAGGTGACACAGATCAGTTCCCTTCCTTGCTAACAGCCTCAGTTGCCCCTTTGGTGAGGTGCTTTGAGCTCATCAGATGAGATATACCTCATGAAATTCTCGATTAGCTCCTTGACCTAGGGTTAGGCTGCTAACCTTTCTACCTCCTTTCTCCTCCTTCATATTCTTCCTTCCATCTCTAGGCGTGGATTTATTATGGGTATCTGGAACTCCCACACATCTGTGGGCAACATACTGGGCTCCCTGATTGCAGGTATCTGGGTGGATTCAGCCTGGGGCCTGTCCTTCATCATGCCTGGTATTGTCATCGCTGTCATGGGCCTCATCAGCTTCTTCTTCCTTGTTGAGAGTGAGTGGAGAACTAATTCCTGGGCTTTCTCCTTTCCCAGGATTCTCTAATAAGCATCACACTAAATTTTTATTTTTCTAGCCTGAAGATTTTCCCCATACTTAAGGGGCTGAGAAAAAGAGATGACTAATGTTAACTCGCATTTGCGTAGCCCTTTTATGTTTATAGTGTTTTCCTCATAGCCATCCCGTGAGGTACATGGTGGGCTAGCATTACCTCAGTTTTATAGATGATAACACTAAGACTTTCAAAAGTCTTTTGTCATTGGTCATAAATAAGTGACAGTGACAAGATTAGAAATTGAGGTCTCTTGGCTTTAAACCCATCAGCTTTGTGAGCATCAAATGAGACAATGGATATATATAAAGCACTTTGCAAATGTTTAAGTGCTAGAGAAATGAGAACTGTTGTTATTTCAAGATGTGGCAATTGGCAATGCTTTGCTTTATGGGCCTTTTTCCTTTTTAAAACACTTTCACATTCATTATTTCATCTGATTCCTACAAGCAGTCCTGTGATGCAGGTAGGGAAGTTAGTAATATCTCCACTTTACAGGTAAGAAGTAGATACCAAAAGGTGAAACGATTTGCTTAAAGTCACACAACCAGCTAGAGATAATTGGGGATTAGAATCCAGGTCTCCTGCCTCCCAAGTAGCTAGGTGGTGCAGTGGATAAAGCATGGGGCCTGGAGCCAGAAAGACCTGAATTCAGATCCAGCCTCAGACACTTACTAGCTGTGGGACCCTGGACAATCCTGTTTGCCTCAGTTTCCTTATCTATAAAATGAGCTGGAGAAGGAAATGGCAAACCACTCTAATATCTTTGCTAAGAAAACCCTGAATGGGGTCACAAAGAGTCAGCCACAACTGAAACGATGGAACAACTTCTGCCTCCCAATTCCCTTCCTTTAAGTTCTACTGTTTTCTTTTCCTCCTCCTTATAACTAAAGGGTAGAGCCCCAAAACTCTGAACTTGTTTGAGCCCAGTAATAAGGAATGAAGGGATGAGGATGTTCAGGAATGATAGGGCCTGGCCTTCTGTGACTCTGATCCCCATCTCTCCTTTCAGACCCTGAAGATGTGGACTGTACTCCACCTCAGCACCATGTGAGTATGAACCCCACAAGAAGCTGAAAGGTGACCCTGTTCTCCTCATTCCTTTCTATTTTTGGTTTCCAGAGATTTAGTTGCTAGAAGCAGCAGGCTAGTAGGAAGAAGGGTGGTTGGGAAACCAGTCAGTTACTAAAGAGACTTGATTAATCTCTACCTCTCATTTCCTGCTTCACATTTTACCACATACATCTCCATCAGAACCAGGGCCAGCCATAGCCGATCAGTTAGTTCTATAAGAGGGTCTATATATAACCATGAATTTCTAGGGTCTATTCCTTTCAGTCAGGGATGTCCCACACCCCTCAGGTAATGGTGAGTAAACCGGGATTTCCATTCTGTGGGAGGGGGAGTGCCAGAACCTCATTCCCCACATTAAAGGACTTCTCCCCACTGTGTTCAGAATGGGCCTGATGAAGACCGGGGTACATCTCTGGATTTAGTGGCTGGGCATTGCCCTGAGAGGAAGAGTAGAACTGAAAGTGCTGGATGTTCCAAGGAATCAAATGAAAAGCTTGAGGCCATCAGCTTCCTAGGGGCACTCAGGATCCCGGTGAGTAAGGGAGGATTAGCAGGGGTGGAGGTGGTGAAGGAGTAGACTAGTGCGTGAGTGGTTATTCTAGAGATTTCTTTCTGTAAGGGGTTAAGCAGAACAGGGTGCCCTAGAGCTGGTGCCTTGAGATCAGTGATGAGGGAGTCCCTTGGCACTATCTCCATTGTTCCTTTATTTTCCTTCAGGGTGTAGTGGAGTTCTCCTTGTGTCTGCTGTTTGCCAAGCTGGTCAGCTATACCTTCTTATTTTGGTTGCCGCTCTACATCGTTAATGTGGGTAAGTGCATGTGCTAGGTGGAGAAAGTGGGGAGATGAGGAAAGGCGGGGAGGAAGGGGAGAAGTTGTTAAAGAGTATTTGGAAGCCTGAGGTGGGAATGGGGGTGGATGGCTCAGCAGAGTAAAGATTACCCAAGCACTCTGCTTGTGGTTCAGGTCTGGGAACACAATTTTTGTGAAATCTGTCTCGTGCGAAAAGCAAGAGGCTTAGAAATTGGATGCTGGGGCTTTTAGGCACCCCCCCGCTCCATATCTCCAGATCCATAGAATGTAGACATCTTCCATCATATCATATTCCATCTTTTGAGAAAAAATGAAGATTACATAATGAATCATGTCCTGCATTTTCCTTTCCTTCTGTTCCCTGTTATGACATTTTACTTTCTGTCCTCATAACCCAACAAGAACTCGTTTGAAGGCTATCTGACTCTAAGTTGGGTGGTGAAATGGAGGCTTTTGGGGCAAGGCCTACAGTCACCTTATAACCAACCACTAGAACAGTTTCTAGATTTTAAAAAATTCTTTTATTTATTTATTTATTTATTCATTTATTTATTCATTTATTTATTTATTTATTTATTTATTTATTTTATTTTTAGGCAATTGGGGTTAAGTGACTTGCCCAGGGTCACACAGCTAGTAAGTGTCAAGTATTTGGTCTGAGGCTGGATTTGAACTTAGGTCCTCCTTTGGGGCTGGTGCTCTATCCACTGCACCACATAGCTGTCCCCCAGTTTATAGCTTTCTCTGCCAAAGAGAAAATTCATCAACATTGTGGGGATCATTGTGTTCTGTTCCAGTGCTGGCTGTGCTCTGGCACATTGTCCCAAACATGGGCATACAGTAGACACTTCTCCCTGTTGGCCAGCTCCACTCAAGATCTGGTGTTCTGTGGCTGTTCACAACTAGGAGCTATAACTCATTGGGAACCTCCCTCACTCCTTTCCTCCCAACATGCATAGAACAAGAAATCAATTCCCCTAATTAACTAAGAGTACACTGTCAGTCTTTCTTGGGTGTGTCTTAAAGTAAAAACTGCAGCAAGGCATATCCTTCTCCATCCTTCATCCACAGCTCCCAAGACCCTTTGAGCTCCCAGTACTTTCAATTACCTTCTTTTCCTCCATCTTCTAGCCACTCCAGGGATGGGGACTCCAAATCCCTTCAGGTCCCCTGTATGCCATTCTCTACTCCTACCCTAGAACCCAAGCTCCTCCTTATCTTCCTCTTCTGTCATCAGGAACAATCCCTGTTTTGACCTCTCTGACTCCTACAAAGCTGCCTTTTTTATACATTCTAACATCTTTGAGAAGTGCATTGTGGGTATTAGACATGATAAACTTTGAGTTTAGTTTATCCAAAATTCATGTAAGGGGCTTTCTTCAAAGATAGTTGCAGAATTACATGGGTGCTGTCCTCAGATGCTCTGTGGATCATTCCCTTATTTGTTCTTTGCTTCCAAGTTACGCACTTTAGTCAGCTAGTTGTGTTACTCTTAAGCTTTTGGTCAGATTTTTTCTCAGTTCTTACCCTTTTGTTTTCTCCACAGCTCATTTTGGATCCAAGGAAGCTGGGGATCTTTCTACCCTCTTTGATGTTGGTGGCATAATAGGTCAGGCTCTCTGTGCTTGTTTTTCCTGGAGGGCTGAGTCTTTTCCCATGAATTGAGAGTAGAGTAGTATAGGGTAGGGGAGGGAAGTACATGGTCAATAAGGCTTAACTTAGTGAAGCAGAATTAGAGGAGAGGACATATATTTCCAGAGATTTCTGCCTGACCAGGTAGCTTTTGGGAAAACCCATTCCTCCTCATACTTGTTTTTTCATTTATAAGGGGGTATGTGGGAAGGGTGGAGTCTAGAGAATCCTTTGTCCACATCCTAGTCTCTAGGCAGTGGTAACATAAGGGGGTCAAATGCAGTGGGTGGTAAGGTGGGGGTATGTGTTACAGGTGGCATCCTTGCAGGGATCATCTCTGACTATACCAATGGCAGGGCCACTACCTGCTGTGTCATGCTGATTGTAGCTGCCCCTCTGGTCAGTCTCTATCATTTGGGAGGGGATGGTTGGATGACTACTTGGGGAATGTCTGCAGGGAATAAATAGTTGGTTTATCAGCAAGAGGGCTGGCATCGTAGGAAGGGAAAGGTGTGGAGAGCTTGGGGAACTATCTAGCTTAGGGAAAAGAGTGTTGTTTTTGTGTGTGGTGGGGGTAAGGAAGGGAAATAGGTTATTGTGGAAAAGAGGAAGGCCAGCTGTTCTATTTTGCCCCTTAATTCAGGCAAAGAGGGAATTTTGGCTTATATTGTAATGGGAAATTTAGGAAATTTAGGGATATTACCTGAACTTTCAGATAGGGAGACTTAAGAATTCATAGCTACATCAGATTCCTAAGGGAGATCTATTCTTGGGGACAGAGATCCCTATCATTCTTAGGAAGGGTAGACCAGATGACCAGGGATTCCAGGATAGAAAAGGGTAATGCCAAGATCTATGGACCACAGTCCATATAAAAATGTAATGAAGGTAATAAACTTTTCATCCCACACCCTTTCTTCTTCCTTTTTCCTCTATCAGCTATTCCTGTACAACTCTGTTGGCCAGAATGGGATCAGTGGTTCTGTAGGTAAGGCTGCAAGTTGGGTTCTTCTGGATTTCCATGAGCATCCATGGAAATGCACCAGGGAGGGAGGGGTTTGGTGCTCTGAGTATTTGAGTACATAGGAGTGGACTGGAGGTGGGGGTAGAAGGAGGGACTAGGAAACCAATTAAGTGCACAGCAATTTACTGGAGGTGGGGAAGGAAGGACTAGGAAGCCAATTCCTGTGGGGAACAGTTCTTAAAGACTGGGAGAATTTTGGAGAACTTCCTAGCTTTTGCCTTTGGTAGGGATGACCACTATCTTTGTTTCTACCTTCCTAGTGATGTTGATTATCTGTGGGGCATTGGTCAATGGGCCCTATGCTCTCATCACCACTGCTGTCTCAGCTGACTTGGTAAGCTCAAGGCATCTGGGAAATGGTATTGTACTTCCTGATTTAGCACAGTTCATGGTGTCCCACGCCATGGCGGGTCCCAGTTCCCATGAGGTCTACCTGATTAGGGGAGGGAATTGTTTGCAAGATTTGGGTGTCTCTCTTCTGGTGTCTTGTCCATTCCCTTTCCCTTTACTCAATGCTAGACAGGTCAGTGTGTTGTCTGGGGAACATTTTCCCTTCAGAATAAACTTTGTGTTCCTTTTCTCTTTCCCAAGTCAGGCATCTCCCCAAAATCAGCATTAAATTTACTAGGAGCTGTGTGTCCTTTTACCAAAACTGAGGCTATCGCTAAGCCAGAGGCTTAGCGTGAATTTGGCTCCGTGGTGAATTTGGCGGCACTGTGGGTCTGAATAAATAGTAGAGATGCAAGTTGCTTGTGGTGGACCTCTGATTCTACTCTCTCTTGTCTCCCCAGGGTACACACAAGAGTCTGAGAAGCAATGCAAAGGCACTTTCCACTGTGACAGCCATTATTGATGGGACTGGCTCCGTAGGTCAGTGTGCTCTGGCTGTGACTTTGTCCTTCCTACTCATTCTCCCAGGCAGTTGGGCCCTGATCTCTTCCATTGCACAGATTGGCAGCCTGAGGATGGGGTGGGCTAGAGGATCAGCTGAGTTGTGGGGAGAATGTCACAGTAGAGAAGACTAGACTAACCTGGGTCAGGATCATCTTGCTTTGCTCCTCACACTGTCTGTGTTCTCCTCCAGGTGCTGCTTTGGGGCCTCTGCTAGCTGGACTCATCTCCCCTACAGGCTGGAACAATGTCTTCTATATGCTTATCTCTTCAGATGTCTTGGCTTGCCTGGTAAATGACTTTTTTGGGTCAAGAGTGGGTGTGGGGAAGGGTCACGTGGTCTCAACCCAATGTTATGGCACCCTCACCTGGCTATTTAGCAGAGACTCTGCAGGGAAGGAATTGGCACAAGAGAATCTCAGACAGTATAGAAGTGGTTGTACTTCATAGGGTTTTTGGTATCTTTTCTGGATAACTCAGAGCTATATTACATTCCTCATATAATCCACTACCCAAGGTTACTATCTTTCCACCCTATAATTAATCAACAAATATTTATGGAATGTGTACCATGTGGAAGGCACTGCTAGACCCTATCCTATCTCTTTACTCCAGACTTCTACAATGGCTGGTACCTGCCCTGCTCCATACTTCCTCATCTGTTTTCCTCTCCCCTACAGTTCCTCTCTCGCTTGGTGTACAAAGAGATCCAGGCCTGGAGGGGAGGCATGAATAGAAACAGAGGGTGAGTTCTCCTGAGATCTAAGGCCCTTGAACTGGAGGGCTTGCTTGGGCACTCAATTTTAGGGGCTCTCCCAAACCCTACATTTTGTGGTAATCACAGTCTATCCCTGGGTGCTCCTGGAGAACCAGAGACTAATCTCTGACTTTTAAAAAACTACCATGAAGCTTGCTTGAGCCCCAACTCTCTGAAAATTCTTAACTTGGACTCCAGGGAGCCTAATCTGAAGCCTCCAGCCTTCATACTTCTTGCCGTCCCTCCCAACACCTTGCTAACCGTTACTAATATCCATTGTCTTCCATATGTCTTCATAGCTCTCGCCTGGCCCTAACCCACCCGAGGTAGTGTCCGGTGGGCTGTGGTTTGTATTGTGAGTATGTTCCCTTAGTCCCATGACTGATTTACAATCTGAACTAGGACTGCATGCCAACTCTCCTCACCAGTGTGATTTCTCTTGCTTACTTCTAAAGGGGTCAGCTCCAAGAACTTGTGATTTAAACAGAATGTGATGTGTATGAGGGTTTTCTTAGGAAGTGCAGAACCCAGACAGGCCTCTGCCTTCTGTGGGGAGGATCAGATCATAGGAGTATTTTCCTGGAGTCTTTGGGGATGGGGGCGGTAAGGTTTGGAGTAAAGACTCCCCTCTTTGCAGTAATAATGCTACTGCCATGAAGTTCACAATCCAAGATTATCTGGTACCTTGGCTTGTGGGATGAAGAAAACAATGAAACTGAATTCTAATCAAGTCCAATGGAGATACCTGGCCTGTTTCTGTCTCTGCTTTTTGTTGATGGGCAGTGGGGGTTTTGGGGAGAAAAAAGAGAGGGAAGAAATGAGATGACATGACTAGGAGATGGGGAAAGCAAAGGGGCTGGTCAGAGATTGGGACTGTATTGGTGGTGGTAGGGATAACCCTTTCTATGGCCCCCTAAGCTTCTCTCTTGGGCTTGGTTTTCTTGCTTGCAGGGATCTGCATGATTCTTAGAACTCAGACTAGATGGGTGAAGGGCAGGGAGGGAATTTCTTTTTGTACTCCATGGGAAGCCTGGGGAGCTCTGTTCTAGTGCTGCTTATCTGGAGAAAGGTGATTAGGAGAGCTCTTTTCCTTCAGGGAATTGGTCACCCATGTGAATATGAAAGATGGGAGGCTTGGGAACTAGATAGGGAGCCATGCTGCTCTCTCTGAAGAGGGAGGCAGGCAACATGGAAGACTTGGAGCAGTTTACTTATGAATCAATGCCCCTCTCACTCGTTAGAGTACCATTTTGACACAAAGTGGGATGGGATAAGGGGAAGGACATTGAGAAGAAGTGCTGAAAAAAGAAGGGGAATCAGGTGGCTCTACTCTTAACTGGTTCTCTGTAGAAACTTGTTTCCAGCTCTGATCTACTTTCTTTAGAGTAGAAGGGAGATTTATAGCTCCTACCCTCACGATTTATTTATAAACAGAATAAGGTAGAACTTGAGTGTGGCTATTGAGATCTAGTGTTCTTCTAAGAAAGTACAAGAGTCTGCCTGATTCTCTTATCTCTATCTTAGTTCCCTAACCTGAAACTCTATCATCCTTCTAGATATAAAGAGATATGAGGCCCCCTTCTGAAGTATTGGAGCCAAGGATTTCTGCTGGATCCCCGGAAAACTCCCCAGTGGAGACACCTACAGACATAAACAGACATTTGGGGCAGCCAGAGCTGGCCAGGGACCTGCTACAGGTCCTGATAGAATTTCCAGGGGAAAGAGGCTAAGCAGCCTCAGGGAATCATAGATTAAAGAAAACAACACATTTTGAGCAGGGAGTATGTTGTAAGCAGTATATACAATAGCAGGGCTGGAGCTAAGGTGGCATCCCAATCACAAGAAAAGAAAGGCATTGCCTTTTGTTTATCCTAGGTCTAGTTTCTTTGCTGAATTAGGTGATTCAAATTTTAGGTGCAAAGATAGAAAGCAAGGATTCTGTGGGGACAAAACAAACAATAGGCCCATACTATTTCTCTCTTCTCCCCATTACCATTATATTTTAAATGACTTTGTCATCAATTGCTCCCCTCTGTAACAGAGATGCCTTACCACATTTTCAGGTGAACAGCTGCAGAGTTTGAGGTCAACTCTGTTTCTCTGCTCTATGACCTTCATATCTCTGTATTCCCAAATTTAATCTTTCCCCCTCTTTTGCCCTCCCCTGCCAACTCTGCCTCTGTCTATAAATGACAGCTCAACTTCTCCATCCTTGATTAAAATTTTAACATAAACCTTGTATTGATAGATGATGGATTTTTGTCAGCTGTTGTGGGTATGATTGAAATGAGCTGTTTGTGTGTGTATGTATATATGTGAATGTATGTGAGGTGTCTTTTATCCTAATTTGGTTATATTTTGAGAACCTACCACATGTTTAGTACTGAGGTGGTTAATGTTCAAGATACAGAAGTATAATAGTCAATCTTTTCTCAAAGAACTTAAAATATAGTTGGGAAGATGAGATACATTGATTTTATATGGCAATGCCAATAACCATGGGTACAAATGAAGATTCATTTACTCCTCTGTGGTTCTTATAGAGATGATAAGTGCTATTTGTGACTGCCTTTTTGCCTTAATATGCCTGCTTTTACTTAGAGAACTCAGTTCTTCCACAAATAACTATACTCAGGGGGCCGCTAGGTGGCGCAGTGGATACATCATGAGCTGTATTCAAATATGACCTCAGATGCTTGACACTTACTAGCTGTGACCCTGGGCAAGTTACTTAACCCCATTGCCTAGTGACAAAACATAACTGCGCTCAGTTTATTATTGCTGTTTGCCAGCCTGGTATGGTGACTGCTGTGGTCTCCTGGCTGTTTGTAGCAATGCTATGTTACTTAAAGCCATGCTTCATCATCCTTATAACCTTCTGCTCTTTGTTTTTTATGGTCACCATACTTTGGTCCTGTGTAGCAGCATCTAGGATTTGGGTTACTGCTGTTATACTATGCATCCTGCACCCAAGTCCAATTGTTTTTATAACCTTCACTTCAGGTTGCATTCTAAGACTGTGTAGTTGGTGATGTTAGGGTTGGTTTGCCATTAATTTTCACTAGGGATTCATAAAGGATGTTGACGGCACTTTTAAGAAACCTCTGTTTTCTGGCATATGGCATCTATGGCAGGTTGGTTTCACAGCCTTGTACTAGTTGAGCTTGATGCCTCATTATCATAGTCTGACTGGGCATAAATTGTTTGGTAAGTGAGTTAACACCTCATGTCTTGCCCTCTACCCTGTGTTCCCCAAACAAATACATTCATGTTTTAGAAAGTGTCTAAAAAGACTATTTATCAAAGTTTACTCTGGCCACGAGGGCAAAAGAAGCAAATAAGGGTCCTCAGAAATGACTTAGGAAGAATCTATTCACAGTTAAATTTAGTGCTTCCTACCCATAGTTGACGTTACACCCTGATCCTTATATCCAGAGCCCATTGAGAGGGGCTTCAATTTAGCAGTTCCAATACCCTCTTTGGCCACTAGATGGTGATACAACCCCATGCTAGAACACCAGAGCCTGAATAGAGGCTTCCCTGGAGCTTGTCAGCACTAAGAGGAAGAGACATATCTCTCAAACTGCAGAGATTTGGGAATTCAGGAATACTGTGTGTATCTCCTACTATTCATGGTTCTTTCTTGACTTGTTTTATGACTCCATTATTCCTCTAACTTATTAATTTGCTTTGGCTCCTAATGCAATAATTCAGTTATTTTCTCTCTACTCAAGTTTATGGAGAATGTATTAGCTCCCATGATTCTAAATGGCACTTTTTCAGAGATTTGAGAGCTATTCTAAGATGTATTACCACCACCAGAAAACAAAAATGCCATAAACTGACCTATCTTCCCAAGTATCTAGGCTATCAAGACAAATAATTTATTGTCTGATGAGTATTAGGAACTGGAGAATACAAAAAAGTATTAGGGTATGTTCCTTGTTCTTACTGACTTCACAATTTGATTCAAGAGACCAGACGTGTACAGAGAGCTAACTAGCAATAATACCAGAGCTATTACAGTGCAGTTATTGCCTAATGAATGGTATAAACAAAAATACAAAGTAAACAGTTAAAATGGTTAGGGAGGGCTGCATGGAAGCAGAGGGACTTAAACAAGGCCTTCAAGGATATGTAGCATTTGGATAGGCAGGAAGATGGTATGATAAAAGGTTGAAAAGTACTTGCATTTTAGGAAAAGCAAAAAAAATATACAATGTTTTTAAGGAAAACCACATGATGTGTTTTGTTGTCGTTCAGTTGTGTTAAAGATACTGGAGTGATTTGCCATTTCCTTCTCTGGTTCATTTTACAGATGAGGAACTGATGCAAACAGGGTTAAGTAACTTACCTGGGGTCACACAGCTAGGCAGTGGCTGAGGACCGATTTGAACTCAGGAAGATAAGTCTTCGTCACTCCAGCTCAGTACCATATTCACTGTGCCACTTGGCTGCTCAACGTGTGTTTCAGGGCTACTGAATAGATTAGATTGTTTTGGGAAGTGGGGATTAGGTCAGAAAAGTATGGGATCTGATTGTGAATGTCAAGTAAAGAAAGATGAACTTTATTCTGTAGGCATTGGGGGGGTCATCAAAGACTACTGAATAAGGGATATGACAGATTAATCTGTTGGTGGTATGTAGGCTCAGAGATAGGAGGAGAGGCATGGCAGCAGCAGAAAAAGAATAATATATGAGACAGTAAAGAAAAATTCACATGACTTGGTGAAATGGGAAAATAATACCATTTATAGGAATGAATTTAGTTTTTGCTGGGGATGGGGGAAGAAGAGAAAATTTTGAGTTTGACTTTAGGCAAGCTGAGTTTGAGAAGATCATGGAACACCCAAATAAACTGTCTACTAGGAAACTGGAGCTGTGTCTGGAGCTCAGGAGGAGCCAAAGCTAAAAATACAGATTTGCGAATTACTAGTATAGAGATGATAGTTGAAGACAAAGAATAAATGAAATTTCCCAGGAAGAGAATACAGAGTTAGACAAGCAGAGAGATAAGAACTAAATCTTATCTGCCCACATTTGGAGAATAGCAAGAAAATCAGTTTTAAAGAATATAAGAATGATCAGAGTTAAGAGGAAAAGAAACAGGGGAGTACACCTCCCATATCATCTGTTTCTTAGTCACATTGGTACATTTCTTTGAAACATTTCTACTCTTAAACACAATCCTGCCACAGGGGGCATCCAGGTAGCACAGTGGACAGAGTGCCAGGCCTGGGGTCAGGAAGACCCATCTTCCTTAGTTAAATCTGGTCTCAGACACTTACTAGCTATGAACAAGCTGAACAAGTCACTTAATCCTGTTTGCCTCATTTTCCTCATTTGTAAAACGAGCCAGAGAAAGACAAACTCTAGTATCTTTGCCAAGAAAACCTCAAATGGGATCACGAACAGTTGGACACAATTGAAAAATGACTAAACAAATGCTACTATCATGCCCTAATCAATTAATCTGGACTAGTCTAAAAGCCTTTTTGCCTCTACTCTTGCTGTCTTGTGCATCCTGACTTGCTAAGAAGTCTGGTTCATAACTTTTTCTGTATTCCAGATTCAGGTCAAGAGTTTGACTAGCCTGAGGCTCTCTGCTATCACATAAACTGAGTATATCTTAGAAAATTGCTATATGTGGGCTGAACCGGGAACCAGGGATACTTTTCCATGTGTGTTTGGCTGTGAAGACTGTTAATTCTTAACCCCAACACTTTTTTATCCCACCACAGAAGTGTTAATTGAGAGGTTATGTTTATGTATTTCTAAGGATCTTGGGGAGCCCAGCCCTGGGACTAGTTTTCCTACAGTGATTTCCCCCAGTTCCCAAGATTCCTGCCCCACTTCTACCTTGGGCACTGAATGTTCACCAGAGACCTGGAGTCAAGCCTTCTCTCTGGGCCTCAGCACACTCATGGGGCTATTACAGGAGCATTACTTTAATTATTCATTTAATTTAACTTCATATTTGGTCTTGAGCCTAAAGTGTTCCTCCTTATAGATGCTACAACAGCACTTGTAATTTAAAAGCAATAACTCTTTGCATTTCTCCTTTTTAGAGACCCATTGGGAGGCTTAGAGAGTGGGGGTGAGAAAGACAGCAATAAGAGAGAAGAAGGAAGCAGTGGTTAAGAACTCAGCATTGTTAGGAGACAAACCAAACATGCTTGACCCTGAGACAGAGAAGTTGGGGGAAGGGCACAGGTTAAGTCCTAGGACATGATGGTCTTGCTAAAGTTGCTGATGTTGGCTGTGAGAGATGGGTAATGGCCCTAGAAGATGGAGGGTACAGCTCTGGTAGAAAAGGAGTGAAGGAAAGGGGGGAAAACAACCATCATATCATAATTATGAGTACTTACCAGGATGCTAATTGAATAGGAATATAGTAAAACAAACTGTCAAAAGCTAAATGTAGGGAGGTCTGTAGTACACATGTTATAGAATGTGTGATGTGTACTCTACTTTGTCAGTTTTCTGCAGGCAGACCCCATTCTATACATATATATAAAGCATACATGTTTTCCACATCCTCCAATGCATTTTGAAGGCTTAAAAGCCCCCAAATGAGTAATAACTGACAAAATGAACCTGTTTTGAATTTCTCCTACTGTATCCATGGGAAAAATTTGGATCTGATATAGATGCCAGCCTCTCCTGCCTGGGTTCTAGGAGCTTAAGTCCAAAAGCTACAGGAAGAGAAGATTCTTTTGACTGCAGCCTTGTAGTTTTGACTTTAAGCCCAGAGTAGAAGTTTAGAAGATAGTAAAACTATACTTTTCACAAAGTACAGTTTTGTTTACGGCCATCCCTGCCACCTACAAACCTGTATTTTTGAAATAGGTATTTATGAATGATTTTATCAGGGAGAAATGAAAAGTTCCCAACCTGTTTTGCTTTTGTATTGTATTTCAATAATCATTGACAGCCTCACTGCTGTTAACATAGTGATCTGACAACTAAACACCTACTGAGAAAGCGGAAGAGAGATAAGATATATGACCAGCCACCTACCCATAGGAGTCTTCCCAGACTTGCTTTTTCAGCAGGGACTCTCCCAGGAGAAGGTGACAAGCAAGTGCCCGTGCTTGTTAGGAAGCAGTGTTCCACTTGGGTTGACCCAGCATCTTTGTGCTGCAGCTCATAGGCACCTGGGGTCCTCGGGAGCAGCAGATGCAACTGCTCTGAACAGTACAGTACAATAATATGAAATCTGTTAGCCTGCTCTTGCCTTCCAATCTGTTTAGATATGTCCCAGTTACCCCTTTATTTCCCTTACATATGCTCTGTGCCAAAACAGATTCCTCACAAATAGTTCCCTCTGAAGCCTTCTCTATTTTTGCGGTGAAGCTTCAGCCCTAACTATATTATTCTTTAGGGTCCTGTGGCAAATTGGGGAAAATTCAACCTGTGCCCATGCCTGCTGATTCCTTAAGCTGTGCCCCTTTCAAAATTTAGTTCCTATACCTCTTGAGCAGGAATTGTGGCTTCTCTATGTTCACAATCAGACTCCATAGCTACAAAGCGACCTTAATTTTCCCCGAAGTCTTTAGTTTCAAAAACTTCAGCTTATTTGACTTGTAGCACTCATTTTCAGGTTTCTGATTTTAAGCTAGAAGACTAAGCTTTAAATAGTCCTGGAGATATATGACGTGATTTTGAAAACAGATAAAATTTAGAGCCCTTTCATGACTAACCTCAGTCAGTCTGGGATTACAAACAGATAAAAGGACATGACAGACCCCACAGATGTACAGCCATCAGTAGCTCTGGTGAAAGGATTATAGTACTAAGAGTGTCTCAGATTGGATTCATATAATAGTAAATGAGAAAAAGAGGAACTGAAGAGCCCAAAAAGAGGGAGAAAATGAGGGCAGGGATGCAATGTATATTCAATTTATTCATTGCCAAAATGAGGACTACTATTCCCTACCTCTTCTCTCACTTCTAATCAAACTTGGAATACATAAAAGATAGTGTTAACTGTTTTTATTAGATAGGATATGAGACCTATATCTTTTTTAGAGTTCTCTAGCATAAAGTTGTCAATAACTATTATACAAAGTTTTCCAAATATGAAAGTAACACTTTTGATCTAAGTGTACCTCCCTTCCAAATGAACTATAATTTGAAAGCAATAGTTTCACAGACCAGAAAGTACCTGATTTTTGCCTTCTGCCAGCTAGAAGCAAACATTTTCTTCCTATAAATCATTACATTTTATCTTGTCTAATTTAAGTCCCACTCCAAAACAGTTATGTACTCTTCTGATTCTAAATAGGTGGAAAACTGAGGTATAAAAAGAGGATGTGATGTGCAGTCATTCAGGATGATTGTGAAGACATTACCATTTCTCTTAAGTCGATGAGAATCCATCCCCACTGGCATAATTCCATAGTTCCTTAGATGAATCCCAATACTCATGGAATTCATGCCAAATCCAAGATATGGAAGCCGCCCATGCAAAACTGAGCAGCAGCTCTGTTCAATGAGTAGTTTGTGTTATTTCTTTGAATAGTCCTTAGTCTGACCGAAGTGGTTTGGCATAGATTGGCTCCAGGATGTGGTGAATTAGAACCAAGAAGAGGCTTCCAAGGAAGAAAATACTGAGAAAAGCCAGTAGAACATAACGGCCAATGAAGAACTTGTCCATAATCTAGAGAATAGAGAAAAACAATGTCAAAAGTGACAGCTACTGGGCTATTTTTCACTTTTAACATCTTTGTCCTATTAAGTGAGATCTCCGGTTAGCAAAGGTCTCCAATTCCTAGATGTTTATAACTTTCAGACACTATCCCATCCTGGTTTTCCTCTATAAATAGAAAATGGATTTCCCTTTTGGAGCTGAGGTGAATTAATTTTAATGAACTAAAAGGTTTAGAAAACACCTAGAAGAGTTCTAGAAGGATCATTAACTCCACATTCCCTGGATGATGTTTTCTAATCTAAGACTGCCTGCGTTAATGTAAAGCCAGGTTAAGTCCCTGATAGGATAAGCCTTAAAATAATACTCTGTAGCATTCATCTGAAGGTATTTGGCAACTTTATAAATATGCACCCACTCAACATTCCTAGGACAAATGTGACTAAAACCAATTGTTTGCAACACCTGCCTGAAATATTTGTTTCAGTAACATCCCTAAAGTCATATGCTGATCACTGAAAGAAATCAATAACTATCAACCAGTCACACTGGAAGAGGCTGGTTTTGACACTGAAACCTAAAGTTAGTAATGATTTTAGCCCCTTAGCTCCACTATCATGTTAACTGGTCTCAGACCTCTACTCCCCCTAAATTCACATGCTGATAACCTACCAAACTAGCTAGGCAGCAATACAAACAGAGCAAATGGACTATGTCACAACTTCCAAGGTCTTTGAATACAACACCTGGAAAATAATCCCAAATGCCTGAGTGGAGATCCAGACACAAAGAACCTATCAAGCCAAGCACCAGTGTGATTGCTGAGATCCAAAGACCCCAAGAAGAAAAGGGCTGCAACCACCCCGGCTGCTCAAGGGATTGCCTCATGCTCTGCTTACAACAAAGGTTAGTTCCATAAAATAGCTTTAACATAACACCTGGCTCTAGTAAAGAACAAGTCTCTTGAGGGCTATATGTTTGCTCTTTTGACATGTTTCTCAGTAAGTCTTGTTGCAGAAGGTCCGGGTCATGTATTATTGATACAGTATTGAGCCAGGCCGCTACAGGGGCCAGTTCTGGAAATCCTGCAAATGAGAACTCCAATTTTGCTGGCCATGCTGACAAACAGATGTTGCCCAAACCCTACTTTTCTTTCTAGTCTGGGACTCCTGTGACAGAGGGTGATTGATTTTGTGGTATCTTCTTTTTTCTATGAGGCTTTTCTTCTAGAATTCATATTTGTAGTAGCTCAAGAAGGAAGGCAGACAACATTCTCTCCATTTCAGAAATGGGGAAATTAAGGCAGAAATTTGCCCCAGTTCATATATATAGATAGATGGCACCTATAATGGCAAAGTGATTTTCTGAAACATTTGCAGAGATCCTGGCATTTAAAAATACAATTCCTCAAATCTTAATAGAAAACATTTTCATAAGTTTTCATAACTAACATGTTTATTCTTGGCAGTTTTAGGCAGAACTATGAGTTATAAAGTTATAAAGGTTCCATTTCAGCCCATGAACAGTTGTCTATAGGGATTCTGTGGCAACAGTGATAGTTACTGCTATTTCTACTGGGTTGCAGGCAAAAGAGAAAAAACGAAGCTTAGCTTGCCTCCCATCTCTTGTCAGAAAGGTGCTGGGCTTCAGGATGAAGACTATATTTTCAGACATGTCTAATGAGTGATTTTGCTTTACTGTAGTGATTGGGTGAGAGGGGAGGTGGGCGGGAAAGGGAGGTTATTTTATTAGGGGAGGGGAGGGAAGTCAGTGGGAAGTGACAGTGAAGTAAAAACAAAAAGCATCAATAAAGCATTTAAAAAGAAAAAAATAAATCATAACTTGGGCTCTGACTAAGAAGTAAGGAAGGGCTCTTGGCCCTTAAGAGAAAAGGCCAAAATTTCTCCATCTTGGCCTGGAATGGAATAATGAAACTAATCATTATTTTGGAAGGACTGGGGCTTAGGGGGTTGCTAGTAAGGAAGTACAGCATAAAGAACAATTTTTAGGGGCATTTCAGGAAGGTGAACCACACTCTGATAAAGATAGCAATTTTGTGATGAAATTAAAAGCCTAACAGCTTTGTATAGGTATTTGAGCACTGAGGGAAGGCAGGAGACAGGAAGCCAAAGTACACGAACACAGCCCAAGGATAATCTTGTACGATAATGAAATGGGTCTTGGGGCAGTGACAACAAGCTATTGGCAGATAAGCTGAGAATGAGGCAAAAGAGGGATCACAAGATTACATTTATGGAATCCTTTTATAACTTACATAGTGCCTTCCTTACCACAAACCTATAAGGTAGGTAGAACAACTATCATTCCCTTTTTACTGATGAGTAAAGTGAGGCTCAGGTTAAGGACATTGCACATAGCTAGAGCCAAGACTTTGGACTTCAAGTTGTGTCCTCTTTTTACTGCACCCTGCTGCCTCTCCAAAGAGTTTCTCTATACTTCAGCTTTCAACAGAAAATGCTCCTCTTTGCTGACTGCTTTCCTCAATGAGGAACTATTCTCTCCACTTCACAGATGGAAAAATTTACACTGAGGAAGAAAGGTATGTCATTCAGCAAGCCTGAGTCCCTACAAAGTCTAAATTGGCTTTGAAGGCTTTACTGCTTGTTTGATGTGATAGAGGCTAGAAAAATATCATGACAGGCACATATATGTCTGATGGTGTTCCAGTAAAGATTCAGAACCGGATTATTTTTCTTAGAGAATGGGCAGACGGGGGATTAAAAACTCTCTCTGTGCTTTCTCCTTCACTGTTCTGCCACCATAGCTCTTCTAATATCACATAACAAATCAATCCTACATCAGGGAAGGTCCCATTAGATTTGGGAAAGACATAAGAATCATAATTAGAAAGGCAAAAAGAAACAGAATTTTACCTTAATTTCTACCTCTGGGGTTGGGACCTCAGTGGCCCGGGGAAACAACAACAGAACGGATGTGATGATCACAGCAGCAAGGAAAACAAAAATGACAAAGAACCTGAAACACAAATACACAAGTATTAAAAGCACTGTTAATGTTTTCCACCGATGTGTTGGGCTTAAACTGTTCCTGGGAGCCAGTATTATAGGTTCCAGTCTCACAACCATGCTCAGAGGGCCTGTTGTCCATCTAGCTCAGTAAATTTAAGAGATTTTTCTAAAGTCCTTCTCTTGGTCCTGTTTTGGATAGGTACTATCTAGAAGTATTCCTAAGAGGATCCAAATCATAATGTTGCAAGTTTGGGGCCTTTGCCTCTGAGCATACATGCACACTGTAATAACTATAACAATTCAAGTCAAGGCAGGCTTTTTCTGCATAAATACTCAAGCACTCCTACAACCCTCCTCTTCACTCTGGCAGCACAGGCAGAACATCCATAGGCTAGCACATTTTCAAAGGTTAGTATGTGGCCTTAGCTTCACAATCATTGATGGTTTGGGGTATTCATTGCTCCTTCAGTTTCTCTGGGCCCCAGACCTAGAGCTTCAAAGAAAGAACTAACCAAATTCTAGAAATCTAAATGACAGGGCAGCTAGGTGGCGCAGTAGATAGAGCACCAGCCCTGGAGTCAGGAGGACCTGAGTTCAAATCTGGCCTCAGACACATAACATTCACTAGCTGTGTGACTCTGGGCAAGTCACTTAATCCCAATGTCTAACCAAAAAAAAAATCTAAACGATTGATTTTTTTTTTTGTGAAAGAGAAAGTAGATGTCCTTATATTTCTGGCATGTTTTTCTACATCACAGTGAAAACTGGAAAATAAATCTTCCCCTTTAGACCACAAATAATACAGTTAGCATTTATGATAAGCTAAAATGCAACTCATTCTAACTGCCAGTAATCGCAAAAATGATGTCCTGAATTCTAAACGCTTAATGAGTGTCAGCGATTTCACCTCTAATTGCTTTTACTGAGGACTCCCAGCTGGAAAGAACATCTTACCTAGCTAGACCAGAGACTCTGCATAACAGTCCACACAGCAGCAATACCAACACCCAGAGCAGTGCTAAGATGAATACTCCTGCACCCACTCCAAGTACAGTGCCAGCCATTCTAGAGAAGAAAAGAAACATCAGCATCACTGCTCTGTCACAAGAACAGGATTAAATGTCCTATGTGCTCCATTTGCTTTCTTCCTTCCTCATATTCCCAGTTTTTATTAAGCCCATTCATCTGTGTGCAGAAAGCCCAAGCTTGAGCACAAATTGACTGGGGGGGGCAGTGTTAGTGGAAGGAGGGGATTTTCTGATTAATATGTGAGGAAAATTAACCAGGGCAGGTTATGAATTTCCAGAACATGTCCACTCCTTGGACCTCTTAATAGACACTGGAAATTCAGGACACAAGACTTTTTCTGCTCTATGTTTACTGCTTGAAATCTGGCACATGTGTACTAGCTTGTTGCTATCACTAGGCTGTAACAGCTGGACTCTAGTGTACTTTGAAACAACATCTACTATCAAACTCTGGCTTTGAAAATTACCAGCTATGCAACCAGGGACAAGTCTCTGGACTTGTCCAAGCATCATATTCCTAAATGGCAAAGCCTAAAGTACTTTTTACACAGCAACACAAAGTGGTGAAAGCACTTTGTGAAACAATATGAGTAAGTCTTGTACTGCTTCCATGTTATCTTACCAGATGAACTAAATTTATGGGGCAAACTACATGTGGACATAAAAAAAAATAACTATTCCATGGACCTGCTGATCCCACAGTGGGTAATAAATACTAGAATATTGGAGGCTGGGGTGACACAATGGATAGAACACTAGATTCGGAGTTAGGACCTGGATTTAATTCTGAGTTCTGATAACCACCTGTGTGACCTCAGGCAAATCACCTTTTTCTGAGCCTCAATTTCCTCATCTATAAAATGAGGGACCCTTCCAACTTTAAAGCCAAGATTTTAGGATTATTTCTCCACTATTCTCCAAACTGAACCACATCTCTAGAAGCAGCACTGGTCAGCTGTAGACTTTGTTACTTAAGGGCACATGTGCCTCCAATCTTCCCTCTTTCATCCTTCACACAGTTCCCAATCAGGTCATTTCCTGCTCAATAAACTTTAGTGGCTCCCTTTGCCTGTGGGATTTAAAGCACTTCAAAATCTAGCTTCAGCTTACCTTTCTAGGCTAATTACACATTACTTGACTATGGCCACTGTATATACTAGTCAAACTGGTCTATATACTGCTCCTCAAACATGACTGTTCATCTTGTCTTTGCTTTTTCACAAGCTGTCTCATGCTTAGAATGTACTTCCTTAAGTAAAACCAACTGAACAAACATTTATTAACTACCAGCTATGTGCCAGGCATTGAATATACAAATGCAGAACCAAAACAGAATGTGTCTTTAAGTAGCTAACATCCTACTATAGGGAAAAAAAACATACACAGATAAAATTATATCTAAAAGAAATATATTAGTAATTGAGGGTAAAAGAATGAATAACTGGGGTAATCAGGAAAGGTTCATAGAAGGTGATACTTGAGCTAAGCAATTTAGGTCATCATTTTATACAACAGTAAATTACAAATTGATACTCCATAGAGTTGTGAACCCTACTGATGGGATTCCTTCCAACAATTCAGATCATAATCCACCCATTCCCATCCATCTTCGGTTGATGTCCTGTAAGTTTGCCACTCAGCATGCTGGAGACCTTCCTCATTTTTCTGTAATATAATAGAATAGTGGGCCTGACCATCAATTATTTCCTCTGTTCTCGCCACTTGAACAGTCAATCTTTTTCTTGATATGCTTCTTTGGTGACAACTATAAATTGAGTCTCTTTTGTAATGTGTTGTCCCCTATTCATTTCCACTATGTGCTTCTCTATTTCCTGTCCAATTTCTTCAAGGTTTAAGTGTTACCTTTTATAAGAAGCCTATTCCTTCAGTTACTAGTGCCTTTGCCTTCCCTACCTACCCAAAGTTGTATTTGTATTTACTTTGTAACTACATAGAATAGTGTTGTACATAGAAAGAGGTCCCTGGAATCTGGAAGACAAGCCTCTGACATATACTGACTGTAACCCTGGGCAAGCCATTTAACTTGTAATTTCTCTAGGCAATTTTAAGATTATAAATTGCAGAAGTTGCAAATCTGCACTGGTAAAAGGAGTTCCCTCACCTGACATTCCTTCCATGAATAAAATCACAGTTATAGATAAAAATATATAAATATTTTCCATTTGATTATCTGTGCAAATGTTTTTCCCCAATACAGTGAAAGGACTTAAGTGCAGGGACAGTTTTGCTTTTATATTTGTATTCCCAGTACCTGGCATACAGTAGGCACTGAGTAAATGTTTATTGAAGGATGAGTATGCCTTAGAGGAGGAAGATGTACATGCCATTTATGGAGGTCACACTTTGGGGGTTATGGTTTTTTCCCTCCAACTTCCTTTCTAGATATTTCTTTTGAAAATAACTTTGTAAGGCTGCACAACAGAATCCTCTCTGAGTACACAGAGAAGCAGAAGAGGGAGATCTACGAAACTGTTTCTGGTCTGTGGATTCAGACCAGTGGTCATGCAATTTTTCATCTTTCATAAGCTTTTCCTAGACTAGAGGTCGAAGCCTCATTTGAATCTGCAGCAGGAGCTGTCCATCTCTACTGTTCACACCCAATAGCTCCCCAGGATCACAGCAGACGGTGTACTGTGCTTAGCTTCTATTTCCAGCTTTGTTGCTAACGTATTCATTCCTCACCCGCACACCTGAGGAAGGGATATCAGCCTTTTCATAAGGATACTTGAACTTGCAAAACTTACGACGGCATTGAAGTAAATGTCACATTTCCCAAGCGCAAAGAAGACAAAAGCAACGGCCCTTCCCTTAGGATAAAGGACCAAGGACCTGAGCTGTGATTGAATGGATAAAAGAAACTCCCCCTACCCATGCAAGCCAACACTGTGTGTGCAGGACAGGGTCGAATAAAGTTGCCCCAAGCACCTAGAGGTTCAGGGACTGGCTCAGGGTTATACAGCCGGTCCCTGTCAAAGGCGGAACTTGAAATCCGGTCTTTGTGCTTCCGAGGCCAGCCCCACGTAAATGCCGGGCCCTTCTCTGGCTCCAGTGAAATATTACTGTCCCAATGGCGGCACCAGGCGCGGGGGGCAAGGGGGGGAGAGGAGAAGGAAGGAGGGGCGTGTGAGGAAAAGCCGGTGGATCGGGGCCCCACTTCCTGCTGCCTTCCCAGTCCTTTCGCCTTCAACCTCCTCCTCCAGACCCGCTCTCCTCAGGTCCAGTGTTCACCCTCATCTGCTTCCCAGCACCTCTCCTCCCCATCCCCTCACCTGGCTAGCCCTCTCCCCAAGAGCTGACCCCGAGCCGCTTTTCCACACAACTTCCAACTCTGGTCTAGCCCCTACGGCAGTAGGTGCCTCGTTCTAGCGACAGCGAATCACAAGTGGTTTCTCAGCCGCAACCTCCCCTACCCACCAATCGAAGGCGGCCGCCCAAAAGCTCATTCCTCCCCCGTTACATCCTCCAATGGCGGTGGGAGGTTACTTCATCGTGCCTTACTATTGGTTAACGCTGGAAAGAGTCCCGGGCCCAATCTCAAAATTGATTGGACAACGTCAGACAGGGGTTCCCTTATCCCTATCAATGACACTTTTTCATTGGTAGACTGCCATGAATCATTGGTTAATTTGTCTTGAGGGCGGGCCCCTGGGTGGAAGAGTGTGATTTGCCCTTCTTCTTTGTTTCCATGGAGACCTCACTAGCTGCTTCCATTCCTGGGAGGCGAAGGTGTATGTCGCCCCGCCCCAGTGTTATGAGTCTGTGCGGCTGGTGGAGTCCACTTCTGACAGATCACTGCACTGATTGGTCTTATGTCACTAGGGATCCTCCTGCGAGAGGGTGGTCCACAAACATCCCCTACACTCTGACAGAAACAGACCCCCTCTTCAGGGGGCCATTCCAGAGGCCTCTGGTAAATGTAAGAGTTGGATATTATTTTTCTCTCCTTTTACACACGAACCTTAAATGTGGAAGAAGGAGAAGGGATTATTCTTCCATTATTGTAGACGGAGGTAACTCTAGCCTAGAAGAGGCAAAGGAATGCCCCAGGAATCACGCATCCGTATCTCCCATTCTTTTATACTTGGTTATGTTTTGCCTTGCATTAACACAAACAAACAATTTTTCTCCTTAAAAATCCCCAATCTCTTCCTGTGCAAATGAGTATATTAATTTGTTGTGCTTGTTAAGGATGGGGAAACAAAAGTGCATTTAAGGATAGTGGTGGGAACAAGAACATGGAATGATTTCAAGAATAGTCTCAAATGTTTATGTGTATATAGATAATCATAATACTTAGTATTTGTCAAAACTCTGCCAGAGCACCTGAGCATTTTGTACACATTTTCTGTTGAATGATTATTTAACATTTCCATAGCATCGAAAGATAATCAAATATTTTGATAAGCACTAATCATTGGTTAAACCTTGGTATAATGGGGTGTCAGGCAAATAACTTATGCTGTTCCTTTCTTATGATGGGAAAACTAAAACAAAGTAGACTTTCATAATATCACAATATTCTGAAAATCAAGGACACTTAAGTTCTCAAGTGGTCAGTCCCAATAGCTACCTTGATTGAGTTTACCAGACCATATTTAGTCAACAGTTAGTACTCATACAATGTATAATGTATGTATTTTGTTCCTTTTGTTTATAAGACTTTGAAGTTAGTTAAATATGAGTTATTCTTTACCTTTAGATAGAATAGGTGGCTGAGGGAGATTAGGATACTGGAAAGAGTTTTTTTTTTTTTGGTTGAGAAGTTACAGTCGGTTCCAACTCTTTGTGACCCCATTTGCAGTTTTCTTGGTAGAGATACTGGAATGGTTTGCCATTTCCTTCTCCAGCTCATTTTACAGATAAGCTGAAGCAAATAGGGTTAAGTGACTTGCCTATGTTCACACAGTAAGTGTCTGAGGCCAAATTTGAACTCAGAAAGATGAGTCTTTCTGACTGCAGCCCTGGCACTCTATCCACTCAGTCACTTAGCTGCCCTGGGAAAGCGTTATATATAGTCTTTAAAATTATTTTTAAAATTTTTGAACTTAAGAAATACCAAATAAAGTCAGCATTTACATATATGTAGTTTTTAAGAAAAAGAGGAAGAAGAGAAAAGCAGTCAACAAAGCTGACCAAATACATTCAGAAAATCTGGAAATATATGCAATGTTCCACCCTTGAGGACATATGTCTGTGCAATAGTAGGGGAAAGTGCCTTCTCATAGCTCTTCTTTGGGGTTATTCTTGTTTGCATCTTTGCAATATTCATTTTTTTGGTGTGTGGTTGTTCTTTCCATTTACATTCTTGTCATTTTGTAAATTGTTTTCATATCTCTACTTCATTTTGCATCACTTTATATGTTTTTCCATGCTTCTCTGTATTTATCATACTTATTATTTCTATAGCACAGTAATATTACCACAATTCGTTTAGCTGTGACCTAGTTAATGAGCATCTACTTTTTTTCAATTCTTTGCTACTTCAAAAAATGCTACAATTTTGTTTTATGTGGCATTTTTATTTTTATCAATGATCTCCTTGAGGTATAAGCCTACTTATTGGTGGAATCTCTGAGTCAAAAGATACTCACGTTTTAGTCAATTTATTTTCACAATTACAAAATTACATCCAGGATGGTTGTACTAATTCACAAATCCACAGATATATTGGTATACCTATTTTTCCAGAACTTCTGCACATTGACTATTCTCATCTTTTGTTATCTTTACAGATTTGCTGAGTGTGAGGCAAAACTTGAGCTGTTCTGACTTGCATTTCTCCTCTTATTATTGATTTAGAACACTCTTTCATCTGGTTGTTAATTGTTTGCAATTCTTTTGAGAACTGTTTGTTTATAGCCTTTGACCACTTTTCTATTAGGGAGTGGCTTTTGGTCTTATACAGGGTATTCCAAAAGTCTTAGTGTAGTTTAAAGCTTCAATAACTATTATTGTCTATAGATCTTGGATACCAAACCTTATTAAAAAATTTGATATAAGATTTTCCCCCCCATAACACTTCCTTCCTTATCCTAGATATGAACATTTTGTTTGTACAGAAACTTTTCAGTTTTACATAATCAAAATGTTTACATGATCAAAAAGTTTTACAAAATCAAAAAATTTCACCTTTTGTAATTGCCTGTATCCTTTGTTTAGAATGTCTTCTACCCATAGCTGTGACAAGTATATGATCTGATTCTCTTTTAATTTTTTCACAGTATTATCTTTAATATTCAGGTCATATGTTCATATAGAATTTATTGTGGAATATGGTGTAAGATGCTGGTCTAAGCCTAATTCCTGCTAGACTCTTTTACATTTTTTCCCCAGCAATTTTTAATGAAATAGGGAGTTGTTTCCTAAGTAATTTATGTTTTCTGGTTTGTTGAGCACTGAGTTGTTGAGTTCCACTATTCTTGATGTTCACTTTTCTAGTCTGTTCCATTGATGTACTCTGTTTTTAACTGCTGCCAAGTGGTTTTGATCACTGCTACTTTATAATATAATTTAAGGCCTGATAATGCTCTTCCACCTTTATTCCTACTTTTTTATTTTTGGAACAGGTAACACATATTTATTAAGGGCTTGGGAGAAGGTACCCACGTAGTGCTTTAGGAACAAAGTCTACAGAGTCAGAAACACAACCAGTAGGGGAATGAAGAATGGTAAGCTTGGTCCTGTCCCTAAAATGGAGGCTTAGAAGGAACTCACCAATGGGAGAAGGGGATTGGTATGGCAGAGAGATGTTCCAGGGTATTTCATTATTTTCCTTCATATTCTAGATCTTTTGTTCTTCCAAATGAATTGTATTATTTTATCAAGTCTTATAAAGACATTTCTCACTTTATATAAATTTGCATTATGCAAATTTGACTTTAAGAATTCTGAAAGAAATCTGCATTCCAAAAAACCACCTATGTTAATTTTACTATATAGTGCTATACTCTCTCTCTCTCTCTCTCTCTCTCTCTCTCAGTGCTCTATGGCTGCTTAACCCCCTGCCCCTCCCCCCCCCAAAAAGAACAAACAACCCTCCCAAGTGAAAGCAGAAGAACAGATATGTGGACAGACTGCCGGAAAGACTGCCATACTACCTGCCTTGGGCTTGAGACCTCCAACACCAAGGCTCATGGATCTGTCTTCTGTCAGTCCAAGCTTGGCTACCATGTCTGTCCCCAGACCTGTGTGTTCCTCCTCCTGTTTTTTCTTCTCTGTCTTTGGCTCCCAAGTATCCTTGAACCATGTGCTGGCCCTTCACTCCACTGGCACACAATTCCCTTCCTGCCTTCCTTCTCCCTTCCTTCTTTGTCCCCTGTGCAAATTCCCTGGACAGTCCACTTATGCAAAGCAAGAATTGTCTGTACTCCTTTGATAGTTTGATTGATATAGTATTAAAACTATAAACTAAATTTAGTAGTATTTTCATTTTATTATATTGGCACAGGCCTGTCATGAACACTGAATATGCCTCTATCTCTTTAAGTTGTTCCTTATTTCTTTAAAAAGCATTTTGTGATTGAATCTCATACATGCTTTCCCTTTTTACTATTGCCTCTTGGATTTTATCATTATACCAAAATGCTGTTGATTTTTGTGACTTTATGCTTTTCTTTTTTAAGTATATAATAAATTCAACCTAAAACTTTCAAAGCTGTCCTTGTATGTGATTCCTTCTGACATTTCTTATTTTCTCTTTGTGCATTAAAAAAAAACTACATTATGACTCTTTTTTTTTCTTTTGTTCTTTTTTTTCCAAACCTATCCCTGGCCTCCTTCTTCTTCCTAGCTCCTACCACCTCTAATCTAAAGCAAAGCAAAACAAAACAAACAAAAATCCCCTATAAACAAATAAGCATAGTCAAACAAAACAAATTCTCACTTTAGCCATATCCAAAAATTTATGTCTTATTTGTCATCTTGGGTCAATCACTTCTACATCAGGAAGTGGGTAGAATGCTTCATCATCAATACTCTGGAATCTTGGGTGATAATTAACATTGGTCAGAGCTCTTAAGTCTTTCAAAGATGTTTTTCTTTACACTCTTGTTATTGTATAAATTGTTCTTCATATTGTGTCACTTCATTCTGTATTAGTTCATGGAAGTCTTCCCAGGCTTCACTGAAACTGTTCCTTTTGTCATTTCTATAGTGCATGAGGGTAACTGAAAGGCCTCAAACCCATCAGTGAGTTAGGGAGATGTCTATCCCAAGCATATTCCAATGGAATAGATGGATGAGAACGATTTGTTCCAACAGCAGCTATGAAGGTGGCTGAAGCAGGTGTGGAGCACTTAGAGCTTGGTCACACATAAAAGACACCAGGGTCACCTACTGCATCCCAGGCCATTGCTGATATCTTGACTTTTGTCTTGC